CCCCTTCCCCTGGCTCCCCCCTCCCCTCCCCCTGGCTCCCCCCTCCCCCTGGCTCCCTCCCTCCCCCTGGCTCTCCCCTCCCCCTGGCTCCCCCCTCCCCCTGGCTCCCCCCTCCCCTGGATCCCACCGAATCCCCCTCCCCTGGCTGCCCCCCCCCCCCGGCTCGGCCCCGGGATCCGTTACTGTGAAGCGCTCTGAGACGCCGTCCGGTGTGGAGGACGCTATATAAATCCAAGTTGTTGTTGTTGTGTCCCACAAACAGTCATAGAGTGGAGCGACCAAATTGTTTTGGGGAATTGTTGGCCAACACACAGGGAAAGTTTCCCCCTGTCCCCATTCCCACCATATCTCTGTGATCTTCCGACCCGACCATTCCCTTTGATCAGCAAACACTTTGCTTATGGGTTCTCCCGCCCCCTCCCACCTGCCCCGCCGTTGCCATTTTGCCCCCTGCGCCTTTCTGAGCGCCATACCCGGAGTCCGCCTGCCTTGCTCGCTCGCTCGCTCGCTCCCTCCCCTCGTTCAAGACGCATGAGGAGCTAACTCTTTGACCGTGCTTTCGGTCATCATGTCCCTTCCCCACCCATTCCCCCGCACCTCCCTCACCTCCCACCCCCAGCTCAGGTGCCCCAGCTGACAGCGTCGAGTGCTTTAAGGCGTCCCTTCCCATATGAAACAGTAGCTGAATCAATATTATGTTATGTTACTGGAAGAGAGACACAAAAATATTGCTTCTGTGCCCCGCAGATATTTCTCAAATCTGGTCTGAGTCCCTCAGTAGCCAAAAGGTGGGTCAACGCTGAAAATGAACAGCATTATTTCTTTACCTTTATCCTCTCCGCTTTGAGTGTATAACCCAACAGCAATCAGCCTCCTGGGCAGCTTTTGTCATGTGCAACGTCACTTTCAATGGCCCGTGTTCCTGAGTTCCCACCTACCCTCAGCTCCTGGCAAGACCTTACCTTTCCCCAGGTACTCCTTTCCCTCATTTTTTAAAGCAAAGTGAATCACTTCGCATTTCCCTTTTATTGAACCTCATCTGCCACTTGTCAGCCCTTTTCTCTGTTCTGTTTAAATCTTCTCGCAGTCTCTACCGTCCTCATTGCTATTCACTCTCCTTTGAGTTTGTATGGTCTGCAAACTTTGATACCTCCCCCCCGTGTGCAAGTCAAAGGCATCGATATAAATAAACAACACCTTTTTGATCCTACTCCGAGGGCGAGAGATCGAGGAGATCAGTCGCAGGCCTTTTTATACTTTCCTTTTCAGATGTTTGTCTGATTCCCTATTACTGATTCTACCTTCACTCGGATTCTGAGTGTTCTGTGCCTCATGCCCTCCCGTTCCCACGGCACCCCCACCCCCCTCCGACTGTGCTCCCTCTATACTGTCTGTCTTCACTCCCAGATCAGAGTAAAGCTCCTCTACGTTGTTTGTCCACACTCCCAGGTCAGGGTTAGAGACACAGTAAAGCTCTACACTGTGCGTCCACACTCCTGGGGAGAGATAGTGAGAGAGAGAGACAGAGATATAATAATAATAATAATAATAAAACTTGCATTTGATATAGCGCCTTTTCATGTCTGCGACACACAAACTATACTGTAACGTTCAATGACTGTATAGTTTGGGGGAGAAACAAGAGATTTACGCAGACTGTACAGCCTGGAAATAGACCACTCGACCCACCCAGTCCGTGCTGGTGTTTATATACTCCGCACGAGCCTTCACCCACTCCTCCCTCCCACATGTCTCCCTCGTGTGAAAGTCTAGCTTCCTCTTGAATGTATCTACGTTGATCTGACTCCGCCATTGCTTCAGGCAGCGAGTTCCACAACCTCACTATCTCTCTGTGTGAAGTAGCTCGTCCTTTGGCTCCCTGAGCCGCTCTCTTATACTCGTGTCCCCTGGTTACAGGTTCCCCGGCCAGTGGGATCAGCCTATTTATGTTAACATTATCAAACCTTGCTAGAATTTTTAAACACCTCAATTAGATCTCCCCTTAAATATCTCCAGGGGAAAAAAGGCCCGACCTCTCCAGTCTGTCCTGATAGCAGTAACCCTGGTATCATCCTCATAAAGCTACGCCGTACTCTCTCCATCGCTGTTATATCCTTCCTGTCGTGTGGAGACCAGAACAACAAAAAAAAATTATAATTTGGCCACTCAATCCACGACAGTTTGTGGGACGCTGCTGTGCGCAATTGGCTGCCGGGTTTCGCCCACAAAATACACAGTTCACTACACTTTACAAGAGGTTCTGTGAGACGTCTCGAAGACGTGTTAAGGCTCTATATCAAATGCAAGGATTATTATTATTATTATATTATTCTAATTGCACACAATACTCCAAATGTTTTGCTCCATTATT